TTAAACCTAACCATTCAAGTATAAGTGTTGTTTCATCAAGAAATGTATATGTTAACCATATTTCATTAAAAGCACCATATAAATTAATAGCATCAGTATCAATATTTAATAGAGCAAGAAAAACATTTTCATTATTTCGAGATCGATAAAAACTTTTTAATGTTGGTAACCATACACGTGAAGCAGGATTAGCATTTACTGTGGCATTTGGTTTATCATAACCTAAGAATTGAAAATGAGAGTACAGATTTTAATGTCTTAATCAATTAAAAATAAATAATAATTTTTAGCTTTCACTCAAGATATTTTGAATGATTAGTTACAAATGAAGAGAGATCTACTTATCCATTTTATGGAGTACATCTTTGTTTTTCATATTGTGGAAAATAAAAAACAATCACGGTTTTTTTTCAAACGTCCGATTGATTCTATACTATAACTAATTATTGTAGCATCCAATGGTAAGTTTTCCTATGAAATTTTAATAGAAATCATTCTCAATCATAACGGGTGCGGCAGAATAAATGGCGGTCTCAATATTTTGACTATAGCTTTTTTTCTTTGTGTTCTTTAGAGCTGATTGTTTTTCCAAAAGATGCGCCGTCAAATTCTCTACAAAACGGTAATCAAACTTATTCCTGAAGAAGGTTCAGGAAAAAAATTAAACGAAGATTATCGAATATATAAAAAGTATCCAACTTTCCAACCTAACAGGTGTCCCATGAAAGACCGGAGCTTATAACTCTTGTTTTCATCATCTAGTATGTTGATTTTTAAAAGAAAAGTATACTAGAAGATGCAGCGTGAAAAGCTCTACAAGTTACATTAAAAAACTTATGTACTCTATCTTTTCAAAGTGGACGAAACTTTGTCAGGCCAATTTTCGATGCTGCGGAAAGATCATGTGTTGGTCGCACGGAACTTTGCTTATTTTAAAAAACAAAAGGTGCATATACATAAAATAAATTGTCGTTTGTAAATTGTGGAGCTTTTCACGCTGCATCCTGTGGTATATTTTGTTTTCCTTTAATAAAACATATTAGATAATAAAAAGAAAAAATAAGAGAAAACGAATTCGTAGTGTGCCAAAAAATGATCCTATTCGCAGCGTCGAAAATTGGTCGCATAGAATTTTGTCAATTTTGATTAAAAAAAGTGCATATATAAAATAAGATTTTTAATGTAACTTGTAGAGCTTTCCACGCTGCATCTTCTAGTATACTTTTCTTTTAAAAAATCAACCTATTAAATGATGAAAAAAAAGAGCTATAAGCTCCGGTCTTTCATGGGACACCTGTTAGGTTGGAAAGTTGGATACTTTTTATATATTCAATAATCTTCGTTTAATTTTTTTCCTGAACCTTCTTCAGGAATAAGTTTGATTACCGTTTTGTAGAGAATTTGACGGCGCATCTTTTGGAAAAACGATCAGCTCTAAAGAACACAAAGAAAAAAAGCTATAGTCAAAATATTGAGACCGCCATTTATTCTGCTGCACCTGTTAATTTGTGAATGAGAAGAAACTCAAAAGCTATTCTATTATTCAAAAAGAAATAATAATCATGGACATTTTCCATACAATAAAGTTTTTGTTGAAAATGAATATTATTTCATAATGATCTGCTGTTTTATATGATTCAATATATGTTTGAAATGAAATTTAAATTATCTTCTACCTGGATTTCCATATGTATTCGATAATTGAATGAAATCAGTTTCATTATAAGTAATATAAACATAGCTTCCTAATTGAGAATTTTCATCTGTCCAATGAATTTTTTCATTTCGAGTTAAATTTGAAATTGATCCTAAATTTTTATCAAATGAAACATATATTGGACTTGATGAATCATGAAAAAGTACAAATGTATCTGTTGGTGAAACAGTTTTAAAATGATCTAAATGAGGTCTTGTTACATTATTAAATGCAGCAGAAAGTTCATCTTGTATTATACTATAAAGTGGATGATCATGAACTGTTTCTAAATACATATCAAAGAAATCTCGTTGTTCAAGCCATGCCATTCGACAATTATTATAAGATTGTACTGAATTAACAACTTTTTGAAATTGTTCATTACTCCAATTAATTTGATCATATACTGATGGTAAACCCCAAGTATGTTCTACAAAAAAAATTCTAGCAAAATAAGTAATCTATAATGCAAAAATTTTATCATTGCCTAGTTTTCGACTTTCAATAGACAAGTGATTATAGTGGTTCAATCTTACCTGAGAAGGAAAATGTGTACATATATTTGAAAATAATGTTACAATCTCATTTAGTAGTCGAAAAATGAGCAAAGACAAGAATTTTCTTATATCGATTCAATAAAATAAAATTTTTATTTACCAGGAATTTTAATAAGATATCGACTAGCATCAATTAATTGATCATCATTTATTGTACATAAATTACGATCAAAACATGTACTTAATGCTCTTTGTAATGCTAGATATTGTTGAACACGTTTTGGATCTGATCCAATACCTTGTAACCACGAATCAGATATATCACTATCAAATAATTGAAGTTCATCCGATATGCCTGATACATCTTCAAGAAAATTTTGAAATGATGATGAAATAATTCGAGCACCTGGATATGATTGACGAAGAATTTCATGATTTTGATGAATTTCAGCAATTGACATTGGTGGACCTTTGCAGATTTGATAACAAAAAAAAAATTTTTCAAAAGAAATATTTCAAATTACCTTGATTGTCAGTACGAAATGCAAATGCTAAACCAACACCAATTTGTGGAATAATAACAAGATCATTGAGAGATAAACCACCTGGATTTGTAAATGTTGTACCAGGATTATTTGGATAACCTAAAAAATAATAATATTATCATAAGTTTTTATTTATTTTAAATAAATACAAACCAAACGAATGCCATGTTGCAAGTACATTTAACTCATCACTTGTTCCCCATCGAAATAAACCATTTGGTATATCAAAATTAGTTACCGCTAAAAATTAATATCATTTTTTTTGTCTAAATTCTATACATAAAAATTTTTCATACCAGCATTAACTCCAACTGTAACCATAGGTTTATATGAACAATATTGTGAAAAATATTGATTTAATGATCGAATAATTGCGATAGGAATTCCAGGTACATCACGTACACTAACAACACAAGGAATAGGAACATGAAAACGTTTTGCTAATGAAACAGATAAATCTAATGAAAGATTTAATGCACGTTCATCCATCCATTCATATTGCATATTCATTGCACCAGCATGCCATGTTATTGCACCAGTACGTATAGCTCGTTCAATTAAGTCTAATTCATCATTTGATGGACATTGTAATTTTATACCAGCAAGAATAAAATCTGATGGACAATTAAAAAACATACTAAGTAACCATGGATGTGTTGTATATATAAATGAATCATCAGGTGATATACGACGAATTTGTTCAGCTAAAATAGCTGCACGAGGAAAATATTGATGAAAATATATATTAAGAATATTATTTATAAAACCCGTTGTTGGAATACCATTATAACCAACATCTAAATGATTCCTACAAAAGAAAAAAGAGAATAAAGTTTATCAAAGATAAAAAAAAAACAGATTTTACATATTAATAACATGTATACGTGTTATATTCGATAGAAGACGATTCCAACACGTATAATCTTTTGATGTTGGCCAACAAATTGATGGTAAATCTGTTGGATATTTTATGATACCTGGTAAACTTATACCATTATCACATACAAGATTTACTGAAGTATTATTAATTATATTTAATGTTGCTGTTGCCCAAGCTAACGCTTGGCCAGTCACAGTAACCACATAACGATTAAATGAATGTGACCAATCAATATTAAAAACATATTGATTATCATTATCCGGTATTGACATGTGATAATAACCATTTAATTGAGGTATATCAGCTGAAATTCTATTATTAGCTGATACTCTCACAAATGTAATAATAATAAATAGAATACCAATAAACATCTTAAAATATCTAAAAGATAATTTTATTAAAATTTTTTTTTACATTAAAAGAAACAATGAAAAATGAAATCATTATCAACATTCATTTTTTTAAATAAAATATATAAGGTGAAACCTCCAAAGTTCTGGAAGTAGATAAACAAAGATAAAAAAAAAGAAGTATCTAATGATATGGGGTTTTTTTGTTTTCATAAGAAAACAAATTTCTATTGGAGTTTCATATTCGTGCAACAGAAGATATAACAACAAAATGTATATCACAAAGAAGAATTCAAAGGACTAAACAAAGTAGTCCTTCGAAAATTATAATGTGAAATATGGATCATATCATTAGGTAAAAAAAATAATACTTCAGTTTTTTATTCAGAAATCATATTCCTATCTGATCAAATTCTATATTTGTCTTTAAATAATTATGATTTTTGTTTTTGATAATAAAAAAGTTATAAACAATTTTTAATAAATGTACATATGAAACCTTTTTAATAGGTAACATAAAGTAGAATCTTTTAGTCTATTGTTCCCTTTCTACTCAAACATTCTTTTTTTGTTCTCTTATTTCCTGTGTGATATATTCGTTTACTCATATAAAACAGGAACAAACATTTCTGTTTATGTTAATTTAAAGAAAATGAAGAATGTGACAATATCTACATATGAACCTGACACGTTTCGAAATATGCATAGAGTAACATAATATTCATTCTATTAATAAATCTAGTTACTTGATCAAATTTAAATACAGTAGATAGACATTATTTTGTGTAACTAAACGACGTTTGAATGAAAAATGCATGCTGTTATTAGAATAAAAAATCAGATTGATAGATTATGTCTTGTAAACAAAACACATAATGTAATTCAATTTTCTATTTTATTTTATGCACAAAATGAAATTTATCTATAAAAATGGAAGTCTTATGTAAGAAAAAAAAACGAAAAACGTGTCCTATATCGTGAAGATATAAAAAAGAAAAAGAAAGTAAACATTTGATCATGATTTGATTTTTATTATTGTTGTGTTGTTGTTCCTATTATTGCTTGTGATGATCCCGTTGTTGTTGTTGTTGTTGTTGCTGATTCTTCCGATGGTAAATGTGAAATAATATCACCAAGATTTGATTCAAGTGTATCAATTTTTCTACCTAATTCATTCATACGATTCATAACTTGATCACTTGCAGCAAGAAATTTTTCTTCCATTTGACGAAAAATGGTATTAACCTATTTCAAATTCATGAATAAGTAATCAAATACACATTAAAAAAAATAAATTACATAATCTGTTAAACCATTAACATTATTTAGATCAGGAGGTAATGATGATACTGTATTTGTACCATTGACATGATTTGTTGTTGAAGATGATGATGATGAAAGTGTTCGTGTATCAGTCATTCTCTTTTTTTTTTTTTTATTCCAAAAAAAGTTCAATGAAGTGACCGAAATGTTTGCTTGGTTTTTTTTCTTTCTCCTAGAATATAAGAGGCGTCTGAATGTTCAAATCGGTAAATAAGTCAACAGACGGCGCTAACCACACATCATAATTCGTGATCATTCAAAAAACGAAAGAATTTTGTAGTCAGTCATAAAGGATATAACTATCAGTTATTGAAAGTTTCTGACAATTGACTTAAAACAGACCAGCAGAAGTGATCTCAAAAATTCAAGATTGAACATGTTTAGTTTATTCAGCATGATCATCGGAGCGCCTTATTCCACTGTAAGAAATCGTGAATTCAAAATTTATGACTGAAATTTGGCAAACGAATAGAAATTCGTCAATTAGCAATATGGTCGGTGAAAAGTAATAGATCTAGTTTCAAGATTGATCTGGATGTTTAGTAATGTTTGAATCCTCCATCTCGTTCTTCACTTGAACGTACTTTATAGATTATCCGATAATATTTCGTACGTGTGAATTCTTATACTTAATACTTGTTTCAGTTTATTCATAGAACGAACAGCCTATAATTTTCTCATCAATTCGATTGATCTCGTCATAAATATATAATCAAGGTAATTTCATCTGTTATACTTGTTAACAATTATATATTGTATTACGTTATTCAAGGATATTACTAAAAGAAAACGAAATGTTATTTATTCATGATGAAACCAAAAAAAGAATGTTTCTATCACAGATCATATTATGTTCATTTTTACGCTTTGTCTTCATTGTTCTCAATAAACAAAGGTAATAATATGTTAAATTACATTCTTCTATTTCGTTTTGTACGTTCATATCATATCATTTATTCACATTAATTTGCTATTGATTCATGAGTTAGTTCAGTATGTGAAATGACATGATCATGGTTACCATCAATTTCATATGAATGATAAGCACAAGCTTTGATTTTTGTATGTTGCTTTTCATTTAAAATCAAGAAGTTTTAACTTATGTAATAAAATATCATGTTCAAGACGAGAAATAAATTTTAAAAAAAACATGTACTCTTATGATCGTTTGAAACATTATGATAAAATTATCATGATTATCATATATGTCAATTCTTATTCACATAGTTTCCATGTGTATCTTTATCTGGTTTCTTTTCTTTTCTTGTTCTCTTTTTTTATCAGTCGTTCATTTGTTTGTACTTTTGATGTTAGCTATGATGTACTGCTTCATTGCTTTATATTAGTATTAAAGTTATAAATGATAGCATTTTTATTACGTAAGATTTTTCAAGGATTTACCATTTTTTTTTGTGTTGATGAAAATTCCTTCGACTTAATACATACTATAAATCACTATCATCTTTGTCTTTCATCACTTGGAAAAAGATTTGTGGTCACGCACATTTTCATTCTTTTATATTTTATGTTAGTCTGCATCAAATTACCTCTTCTATACACATGTGCATATATATATATATATAGAAGTCTCTAAAGATTGTGCATATATACAAATAAATTAGATGAACCATTCATCGTATTTTATATATATCGACGATATTATATAGAATGATGAATACGTAATCGACTTTGTATATGTATATATGCATGTGAGTGATGACTAGCCGGTAGGACTAAAGGCACGCCCACATGCAAACGTTTATTTGCTAGTATTGTGAGTGTTTATGCGCCTGTCTTTCGTTTACAGTGTTTGATTGATCAGGAATAATAGCAATACAACGTGGTCTTGCAACTTACTGATGCCTTCTTTTTTTTCTCTTTCTTTTGTCCAATCTGCGTACATGTGTATGTTTCTTGAACATGAACGAAAAAGAAATCGTTCAATAGTTTGTGTTTGTGTTAATATAATAGGATTGAGAGAGAGAGAGAAAGAAAAAGGTTAACATTCTACAGCCGATCATTAAAGAAACAAATCTACAAAGAAAAAATGTAAACCTCATTTATAGAAATGATGATAAGTCAGAATCAGCAATTAAGAAGTATACTCAACAGAAGTGTGAATGATTATTTACTTAGTTTGTCTATGTTTTTATTTTTTTTAGATTAATAAATCAATAATGAAGATTAGTATACTTGTTATAAATATTGTCTTACCAATGTTTGCATCAATTGGTTTATATGTGTATGGTTTAATAAGTACACGTTGGAATTATATTGATAAAAATTTAATTGATCAATATAATTTAACAAACAAACAACAAGAAGAATATATGCAATCAAATACTAGTATTCAATTAGAAAATCATTTTATACGTCATGGTTTTCGTACACATTATGGTTTATTTGGTTATTGTTTAGATTATAAATGGCTTAATTTATTTATATTAAAATCACAAATAAATATTGAATCAAATAAAAATTTCTTTTGTCAACAATGTAATCAATCATCATTGATTTGTTCTGAAACAAGATGTTGTGTATGTTTAAAACAAAAACATTTTTGCTTAATTTTCAATTGTTTTTTTTTTTCTTTTTAATATAGATGAAAAAATGTGATAATATACCTGATTGTCCATCATATATTGATGAACAAGAATGTAATCGTCCATATAATCAAACACGTTATTATTGGAAAGAAGGAAATTGTATGTGGCAATCAATATCAATTGATAATCAAGATCTACCACGTTATTTATCATCATATTCAACATCACCACGTGATTTTTATTATTATATAAAACGTATACGTCATTATATAATGCTTCTATTATTTATTCTTGCACCATTATTAACATTAATGTCATTATTAATATTATTTTGTATAAATTGTATTGATAGATTTTATTCAATACCATTTGCATTTATTAGTTTTTTTTCTTTAATATCATTTTTAAGTGGTTCTGGTGGTTTAGGAATATTTTTATATGAATGGATATGTGAACGTTTATATCGACCTGATTTTACATATGAATTAAATCAATATGAATCATTAATTATTGCATTTAATCCATGGATTATTAATGTTGAACGTTTAGGTTTAGCTTTTTGGATTATAGTTGCTGCTATTGGAATAAATTTATATATAACAATACTTAGTTGTTGTTTTTTTTGTGGATTACAATCAGATAAATCAAAATTACGTATACATGTTAAGAATGATAAATATGCTATTATTCATACAAGTCCATATGATGAATGAATAATCAAGTTTAGAATTGATTGAAACAAAACGACAAAAAAAAAAGGAAAAAATTAAAATATGTAGATTAGTGTTGATGTTCTTTTTTTTGTTTTTCTTTTAGTGAACCTTGTAGGAAAAACTAAAGTGTATTGTATCAAACAGCCATTACCCGGTGATTGATATATATCGTTTGTTTTCTTCTTTAGGCTGTTGTTTGATCTTATATCTTCTATATCTATTATTTGTTTGTTTAACTATGTTTTCTTTTTGTTTTTGTTCTCATTGAATAGTTCTGTAATACAATCTTCAGCTTCTATTATTATTATTATTATTGCTAAAGTTTTTATCTCGTTACTGTTTATTTGTATAAATTAATATATTAAAATAAAGAAAATGAATGTAATGAGAATTTGCATAAACAAATAATTAAGTCAATGTCATTTGAATTATCTTATTAAATTCATTGATCAATTTGCTAGCAAATATTAAACTATATTAGTTTATCTTTTTCTCTTTTTTTTCTGATGTATAAGTAAATTTATTTGACATCAATTACAAATTAGATCTATCCTACTTATTCAACTAGAAATTTGTACATTAATTGATGAATGTATTCTTTTGAATATGAATGACTATTTACATAATCATCATCATCATCAAATTTATTATTCAATGGTTACTATTGCATCATAATGTACTTGTTAATCAAATTAACAATGACAGAATGAAATTCAAGGAAAAAATCTAATCATGAAAATTATAGAAACTTCAATATAAATATTTAGATTAATTATATTATAATGACAAATTAGATATAATATATTTTGTTGTGAACATCTTCATTGTTTTCTAGATACTTTAAAATTATTAGAAAAAGTAATGTATCAATTATCTTCATATGGAATACTATGCACAATAATATTCACAATGAAAACACTTTTCAATGAATCATTATTTACGAATAACAATAATCACATAATTTTCATATTTAAGCCTTTCCGAAAATAAGTCGTCTGTCGTCAGACGAATAAAAAATGAGATTCATATACAGCATGATTTTTTTTTTATTTAGTTTTCAACACTTCATCTTTAATCTGCAATGATAATTGAGTACTATAATCAAAAATCTTTTTTAAACGTATAATATATTTCGAATTACTGAGCTTCTATGAATGAATGATATGCGGTTATAAAGAGAAGTACATTGGTTTTGAGAGATTTTGTGCTCTAAATTGGATATTTTAAATAAAAAACTTGAAGTTAAAAAAACCTTACGGTTTTTCCTCATTCATATTATTTGTTTAGAATAATCAATACTATTATTTATATATACATATGCTATTTCTATTGCAAAAAAAAATTGCTATCACATGATTCAAATGATGTGATTTTAGTCAATCAATAGTGTAATAACAAATATCGTCACTTCTAGAAATATCCCACGCGGAAGAAGCACGCCTGAAGGTGACTGTAAATCATTGTAATACTCAACCATGTAAAACAGTGAAATACAGTAGTATACGATAAAAGACAAAATATATGCGGGTTTTCTATTCTTCGTCTAATTAGTGGCGGAGCCAGGACTTTGAGCTGAGGGAGGCTCAGCCCCCTCTGAGGAACCTTTGAGCCCTCTTGGCGAATAAAATACATGCTTTACAAAATTTTCCTGGGAGAGGCTCAAAGGTTTCTGAGGGAGGCTGAGCCCCCCTCCCCTTCTAGCCACCCCTGGCTTCGCCACTACGTTTAATATAGTTTTTGTACTAAACCAGTATTCTTTCAGTGTGTGTGTACTTAAATTTTTGTAAGATAATTATGTTTTTTGGCCCATATTCAGTTACGGTCATAAGTAAAATTG